CAGTGCCATTTCTCTCACTCACCCTCCCAGGAGGCAACAGCAGGGCCTCCCTCCGGGGTGGATGCTGCCTCCCTTGTCACCAGGCTCAACCATGTTCCTTGCTTTGGCAAGTGGCATGTGCATGGACAGAACATGAGTGTGAGGGGATGCCTGACCAGCTGCAGTCCCAGGACGGGAGGAGGCACAGACGCAGGGCAAGCCCTCTGCCAAGCCCAGTAGCGCTCAGCGGGTGACCTCCCTGGTCCTGTCCCCAGGTACAGACTGTGGCCTGAAAGAAGGGCCTTCCCAAGGAACAGAGCAGGCAGGCCCTGCCCCACCACTGCCTCCTGACCCCCACCCTCGTGGCTTGTCCGGCTGCTGTGCACTGCGCTCACCTCCACTCCCTGGGGAACAGGCCTCAGGGTAAGGGGGTGTCTTGGGGAAGAGGAGGTCTCGGGCCCCTCGGCCACCATCCTGGCAGCTCTCACTGAGCAGTCGTTTCAGCATCTGGTTCTCCTTCAGGAGGCGCACCTGTTTCTTCAGGTCTGCATTCTCACTCATGAGCCTGTTCATCAGCTCACTGCCCTCAGCCATGACCGCCCTTGGGTACTCATGGGCAGGCCTGCAGCCCCATGGAGGTGGAAATCCAGAGCCCACAGCTCACAGAAACAGCCAAGACCACAGAGTTCCACAGCCACCTGGCCTTCCATGGCCTTGTGATGTCACTACCCTTAAAGAGGCAGCACGACCTCATCCTGTCCCATGGCCCCTCGACACCTCCTAACCAACATCCAGGCCAGGTTGGGCCCTGGCTACATAGTGGAAGAGCCACATACAACGTGCACATGACCCCACGTTGGGTGGTGGATCGTGTCAGTAACACTAGGAGGGGCTACAAGACACAGGAGGGGGTGCGAACTTTAAGTGGCGTGCTGAGCTCCTGTGAGCAGCCCAGCAATGGCCATATCCTGCCAGCAGCACCTTCCTGGAGCAGCCAGAACATCCTGGCTGGGCAAGTGGGTGTAGCTGTTCACGCTGTGTGAAGTCCTGGGCAGCGGTGGGTTTGGCCTTCACCTTGAGGGACACGTGGGCTTCTCTTCACCCCTACTGTGACAGTACCCATGAGAGAGTGGACCCCATATTATTTCCTGACCCCACAGGGCCACAAGCTCCTGGGACCTCCAGAACCTGGATGGCAACTGGTGTGCGCATGGTTACTGGGGCTCACCCAACTTGAGCAAAGAGCAATGGGTGCCAAGATCAGCCTAGGGCCCCACAGTGGTCCCCTGGGGCCTGGGGGCCCTGATGGGGCTAGGAACTAAGATCCCTCACAGACCACACTCCCTCATGATCGGGGTTAGGCAACATAGTGTCAACCCACAGACAGAGCACAGGGCATCTGACTGGTCATTGCTACCAGGCCTGGTTGGAGACAGTGCAGCAAGGGACAAAGCCCTCTGGACCATCCTGAGACCTGGGGTGTGCAGGGCTCCTGGGACCTCTTAAGTGGCAAACACACCTCTTGTATCCTGGGACTAGCCTCAATAAATCTGTAGGGTTCTCACCTCAGATGAGGGGGATGGGAACTCAGATGGAGCCCACTGAGGATCCCAGGGCAGTGGCAGCAAGGGCTTGGGTCAAACACAGGTCAAGGATTTCCCCACACCCAGCCTCTGAGGACAGCACCCGCCAGCATAGTTTACCCTAGACCAGCTGCTCCTGTATTCAAAATCCCACAGCTTCCCCAGACACCATATTTTCTCCAGCCATGGGCCTCCCAACACCCCCAGACATCTAAGCTGCTGGGCAACTTGTGACACCACCCCCCGCCCCCACCCGCCAGCCTCCCTCTGTGCTGAGATTACACAGATGTGCCATTGTCCTGGCTCAGACATATTATCATTGGAATAAATTTGCTTTCTGATCCACAGAATCTAATTTCATAGAATTTAACTGTGATACCATCTAGGGCCTAGATTTCTTCTGGTGGTTTTAAATTTCCAGTTCCATTTCTTAAATAGATACAAGGCCACTTCAATCTCTTGTTTCTTCACATGTCAATTTTGGTAACTAAAATTTCAAGGAGCACGTGCATTTCATGTAGGCTGAAATGGGCTTTCCTATCCTTCTATATCTCACCCCTCCAGAGACAAGCAGATCCTGTAAAGACAGGAAATAAAAAAGGAATGTAAAGCAACATTTGTCAGATTAATTAACCCTTAGTTACTACAGGCTGTTCAGGCCTGCAGTCTCCCAAAGGAGTGGACTGGGAAGGCTTAAACAATTGAAATGATTTCAGGGCTCCAGAAGGGTCTAAGTCTTTCACAGCATTCAATATTCTCTGGGTTCTCACAAAGACTTCTCTGGGCAGCCTGTATTTACTTGGTTTTCAAACAACGGATGAGGACACTCAAGATAATGCAGGAATTTCAGCAGGACCTTGGGAGAATTTTCCCAAGTAGTAAATTATGTAGATCAGGAGAACTACCTTATCTTCAGGTCAGTATTTATTGTAGGAGTGTGGAGCCTGCAGCTGCAGTCTCCTTGTAGTTAAATGGTTGGAGCCAGACAGCTTCAGTTGTGGCCTTAACTTGTCCTTTGAGAAGCCACAGCTTCACAGGTCAATGTAGGCTTCAGGGTGACCAGCAACTCATAGAGGTTCATTTACTATGAGTCCGCTGCCCATCTCCTGACAAGGTGCCTAAACTTTGGACAACTCACAAGTAAACATGGAATGTCAATTGGTTAATAGTAAATCCTGTTCAGAGCTTCGGACAACTCACAAGTAAACAGGGACTGTCAATTGGTTAATAGTAAATCCTGTTCACAGCCACTATGTAGTGGTCTCCAACAAACACTGGCAGGATTTCTTCAGCAGGGGCACAGCAAAGGGGAAGTGTGTGCAGATGTAAGGTGGACAAGAGAGGCAAGGCAGGCTGGACAGGCAGCTGGGGCAGAGGACCACTGTCTCAAGAGTCCAGTGATGGACTTTAATTCCTGTTACATATTTTGTGACCAGAACAAAGGTTGATTAATCCTTTTTTTTGGTCCCAAGAATCAAACTCAGGACCTGGCGCTTCCCAGGCAGGCGCTTGTGCTGCTGAGCTATATCCTCAGCTGGTTAATCTTTTCAAGGCAACAATTTTTGGTTTCATTTTACTGTATTTGACTTCTGCTCTGTATTTTCTCCCATTTCCACTTTAAGCTTACGTAGCTTAGATTACCGATTTTAAACTTTTCATACTTACCACATCTTTTAGCAATATCCCACAAATTTTGATGTCATGCTTTATTTGCATCCAGATTGAATTCTTTCTAGTTAACCCTGTAGCCTCATTTTTTAGTGTTTTTTTTTTGGGGGGGTGTATCAGGAATCAAACTCAGGACCTTGCTCTTGCCAGATAGGTGCTTGTGCCGCTGAGCTACATCCCCGGCTTGCCCTCTTCTTTTAAAAGCTCTTTTAAAGAGCAGTTTGTTTCACAGCAAAGCTGGAAGGAAAGTATAAATCATCTATACACTCCTGCTCTCACACGTGCATGGCCTCCCTCAACCAACACCCCCACCCAAGGGCCCACTTGTTAGTTGCAGGCCTGCACAGACATCACCCGTGTTCACAAGGGCTTCCTTTTGACATTGTGTGCCCATTCCAGTACTATACAGTAGTTCAGTGACAAAATCCCATGCTCTGCCTTTTAACCTTTCACTTTCCTTTAGCCCCTGGTGACTACTGATCTTGATACTGTTTCTAGTTCTGCCTCTTCTGGCATGTCATACACTGTAACTGCAGTCATACAGCAAGCAGCCCTGACTTCACTTAGCAAGGCATTGCAGGTTCTGTCTTTTCATGACTCGGCGGCTCATTTCTTTTTAGTACTGAATAGTCCATCAACCGGAAGTACCAGTTCATCCATTCATCTACTGAAGGATACTTGGTTGCTTCGAAGTTTAATTGTGGGTAAAACTATAAACTTTTTTTTAATGGGTTTTTTGTGGACATAAATTTTCAATTCTGATTTAATACCAAGGTAGCTTGGTCAAACGGTAAGTCTGCATATTCTGAGTGCCAAACTGTCTTCCCAGGTGACTGTGCCACTTTGCATACCCACCAGAGTTCCTGTTGTTACTGACCAGCATCCGGTATTGTGCTCTGCATTCTGGCCATTCCAGTGGGTATGCTAGGGTATCTTATCGTAATTTGCATTTCCCTGATGACATGGTGTGGAGCATCTCTGCACAAGCTTGTCCGCCATCTGTGTATCTTTTTTTTGGCAAAGGGTCTGTTAATCTTTGGCTTATTTTTATAAACGCGGTTTTTGGTTAAGTTTTATGAGTTTTTGTTCAAATGAGAAGGGGAACAAAGCGGGTAGGGAAAGGGACAAGAAAAAAGAAAAGGAGAAAAGGAAAAGAAGGCCACAAAGCTTTTGCAAATAAGCAGAGGAAAAGGGGTTGAAGGAAGGAGAGTGGAATGGGAAAAAAGCAGCAAGATAGATCAGGTACAAGTACAAATTCCCTGTGATGAATGTGACCATTAAGTATATCTAAAATGTACCAATTTAAAAAAAAAAGAATTGACAAGGGAATTTTTTAAAGTTTTATGAGTTGTGTTTTACTTGGGTAACAGTCCTCTACCAGATGTCTTCCAAATATTTTTTCCCAGAATGTTTTGTCATTCTCTTGCCCATTATCTTTTACAGAGCAGACATTTTTAATTTCAATACAGTCCAGCTGATCAAGTATTTCCTTTACAGATATGCCATTAGTGTTATATCTAAAAAAAAAATTACTAAACTCAGTCATCTAGGTTTCTTTTTGTTATCTTTTATAGTTCTGCATTTTTACATCAAGGTCTTTGATCCACTTTTGTTTTTTCAATATTAGAGACTGAACCTATGCTATGGCCTTCATACTGAGCTACATCCCCAGCCCTTTTGTTTTCATTTTTTTTTTTTTTTTTTTTTAGTACCAGGAATTGAACTCAGGAATTGCACTTGTGCCACTGAGCTATATCCCCAGCCCTTGTTTGTATTTTTGAGACAAGGTCTCACTAAGTTGCCAGGCTGGGATAGAACTTGCAATCTTCCTGCCTCCACCTCCCAGAGCACTGTCACTATAGATGTGTATCTTCATCCAGCTAACCGTATTTATCTCTAACAGTGATCTGATCATGGCTCAGAGTCCCTGGGGACAGCAACCACTTCTGGGACGGATCTGTCTGCCCTGAAGCAAATGAGAGAATGAAAGGTCTGTGTGGAGAACAATGCAGGCTGTACCTGAGGCACAGCCAGAGCTGTCACACATGGGGCCGTGAAGGCTAGGGCTCCAAGGGCTTGGCAGAAGGAAGGTGGCCCAAAGCTTTCCGAACAACCCCAGAGAAACAGCTCTGAGGGTCCTGGGCAGGGGACAGGGTCAAACACGGCCTTCCTGCTAAAGAAGCAGGGTAGGCCAGGGAAATTGAGGAAGTGGCATCAGCCAGGTAGAACAGGTGCAACTCTGGGGAGGCTGAGAACACAAGCATTCATCACATAGGTCAAAGGCAAAGCCAGGGCCTGAACTTTCTATCCTGAACTCTACATGCATGCAAGCAGACCAGGAAGGGTTAGAAGCCAGGATTCAGGGTGTACCCCAAGAGGCATTACCCCAGAAACCTGGCCCTTACCTCAGCTCAGCACACAATTGGCAGGGGGCTTGGCAGCCTTAAAGAGCCCTGGCATTCTCCTGGTCACAGAGTTCCAGACTCGCTTAGCTGGCTCATAGGATGGTGGTAACCACTGTGACCACTCCACCCCTCTCCGCTCCACTACACACAGCTCCCTGCATGTGACAACTGTCAGGATGCTGAAGCACAGGACAGTGGGATCCTCCCATACTCAGGGCGCTTGCTAAGTTCTCAGGCATCCACAGAGAACAAGGGCCCCACCTCGCACACATTCAGCTGGTCCTTCACCCATCAGCATCACAAGGTTGTTGCTCATCCCTTGGCTCAGCACACAAAAGAGGCAGGAGCAGTGGCCTGCATGAGCCTGCCCCAGGGTTGCTCCACAGCAACCCAGGTAAGAAGTGCAACAGTCACAGCTGTTCCCAAGGACAGTGACTGGTCAAGAAAATCCTCCAGAAGGTGCTGGGCCTCAGGAGTCAAGATTGATCTTGTTCCCTCTTCACCCCAGCTATCTCAGAACTAAACCTACACTGATGATCAAGTGTCTAAAGCTGACTATACCCATCGCTGTTCAAGCCTGGTCCCAGACTCCTGCCCACAGAAGGGGAAAATGACAGGAGGCCAAGGCAGGGTGACAGAGAGCTCCACCACCTGGCCAAGATACCTGTCTTCATAGAACTTATGAGAAATCACCACCCACCACCCACCCACCATTGGTAGGTAGCTCTCAAGGATGGCCAGCCAGTACTCTCTCAGGGTACAGACTGGCAAAGCGGCCAAGTGTCCAGATGGGGAAGACATTCCTGTAGCTCGTATAGCTGATAGCGCAGGATTTGTTGAAGACCCCAGAGATGTTCTCCTGGAAAGACACAGAAATGACCACAAAGGCTCCGCTAAGGCTGAGGGCTTGCCCCAGACTGTCGCCCTGACTATGGGGCTGCCCATTCCAGGGCAAGAATACCCAGGGAAAGCTGACTGAACAAGGATGGGAGGCATGCAGAAAGTGAGTTCTCCCACCGAGCCTCATACCCACTCAGACTCACCCTGTGGACCCCATACCAGCTTCTGCCAGACTCCTCTGAGATCCAGTCAAGACTTCGGGACCTGGCAGCCCTACCAACCTATCACAGCCCTACCAACCCTCACAGGCCTCTGGTTAGCAGAATTCACTCACCCCAAATCCCCAAAGTACTCCAAGAGGGACATGGGGCGGGGGGCTAGAAACTCATGTGCAAGCTGGAGGTCAGTGCTTGGCCTCACAATCTTCACATACCTGAGGCCAGTCGCCATTGGGGAGCTGCTTCTCCAGCAAACACCTGACTCCTCTCTCCTGGGCCTCCACATCAGGATGCCTGGGGGAAGATGAGACTGCTGGAGCATGGTGGCTTGGCAGGCTCCTCAGCATAAACCTACACCCTCACCCTTGTGCAGCCAGTGCAAGGACAGAGCCCAAAATGCTGTAGTGATGGTACGTGGGACTGACCAGCCTGTATGCCCTCTTCCCGGGAACCCTGAGAAGCAAGGCCACAGAAGCAGAGGTGAGCAGACAGGGAGACATGTGAACCTAGAAGACAGCTGATGCTGTGGCCTGGCACAAGGTGCTGTTCAGCTCCCAGGACAGGTCAAGCCTCATGTGAACCTAGCACACTGATGCACACTAGGTAAGGATGAGACCAGGATCAAGGGCTCAGCAGGACAATGGCCAAGCAGGAGAGGCCCCTATGTCCTGCTCCATGGTCGCCCAGGCTCTGATACACTTGGTCATGCCAAAGGAGGGTATTTTAGAAAGATTCATTTAACAGGGCAGCACAGATTGGAACACACACATCTGAGTGTGCCCTGCCTGTGCACATGCATCTGTCCAGTAAGTACACAACTGCATGCATGTGCTTGGTGCCAGCGATGTACACAAGAGGCCCAAAACAGCTGCATATACCTGTGCTCTGACCAACACGGCGGCCACCACTGCCACACAGAGAAGCAACCCACAGCCTGCTGATCTCACGCCACTCTCCTTGTTTTGCTAGCCAGTGCTGGCCACCACCACCATTGCAGTGAGCAGTCTACTAGGAGGCAAACCTTTGCAGGGCCCCACTCAGGCAGATGGGATGCCACCTAGCCCAAGTACCAGTGCAGCAGGCCTCATGGAAATACCTCTGTCCCTAGAGTGACAGCTGAGTGGCAATGGAGCCCCATGGCATCATCTTCTCCCACATCTGCACTCAGCCTAGGCCACCCATTCACAATTGAGTGTCCCTCCTCCACCCCACCTGAGCTCCTACCTGACAGCCATCAGCCCCATCAGGGCCCAACAGGTGTTGTGGACCTGGGACTGGGCACTCTGCACATAACGTCGCTGCTCACAAGATTCAAAGTCCTCCCCCCAGCCTCCATCAGCCATCTGCCTGGACAGCAGGAAGTTGCAGGCCTGGGAGACCTCCGCACAGGCAGCCCTGCAGAGATGAGGAGAGTTAGGATGCTTTTCCAGGGAGCCCACCTGTCAGGTCTGGCCACATTAGGGTCCTGGGGAGGGGCCTGTAGGTGAGGATAGACAGACCTGCCTCCTGATCGCAGGCACAGACAGAAATGCTCTGGTGTGGCAGATGGCCTCACTGATGTGGCAGTCTACCTAGGGGCACTTGAAGACATGTCCAGGAGTACCCATGCTGCACCCAACCAAGCCCAGTACATTCCTTGCTCCCCAAACCCACTGGATCCAGAGCTAGCGAGGCAGCTAGAGGCAGGGCTTGAACCTGAGGCCTCACCCTCCTGTCTAGCCCAGCAAGTGGCCTAGATTCTAGCTCTCTCTTACTTGGGGTAGGAGCCGGGGATCAGGCACTGTAGGGAGGGTCTGAGTGCTAAAGCTGTGTGAGGTAGCCCACAGTCAAGGCTCAGGAGCTAGGAAAACATCTTCATCTCAACCTGGAACTCACATCTTCCAAGTTACTGATCCTATCCCATTATTTTAAAATGCTATGTATATTTTAAAAAATCAAACATCAAAGGGAAAAAACACTGTGGACTGGCACTTACCCATCTTGGTAGGTGTGCCCCATGCAGGCAAAAGCTTCCAGGCCAAACCAGGTGCCATAGGTGAAACAAACACCCCAGGAGCTAGAGGGAGAGGGGGAAGGCCTCAGCCTGGGTCCAGGGCACAGGTACTCTGCCTGGGTACACTGGGGCATCTTGTACACAGTGTACGGCTGTGGCTATCATCAGAAAAGCATGTATTAGCCCCTCAGACAGGCATACCATTTCAGCAGCAGCAATGCCTACCTGTTCAGCCACCAGACACAACCACTGCACAAGTGAGAAAGAACCATCACACTCAGGCCACAGGACTTCCCACACACAGCTCAGTTGCTCCCACATGACACTCACATCAGGAAAAGTCAGGCTGTGTCAGGAAGTCAGAGAGAGCTGGTGCAGCACACAGGTCCCTGTCCCCAAGCGCATCTGCACCCACACATGCCAGCACACCACACTTAGCTTGGGCACACACTTACCCCTCCCAGGAGCCATCAGCCTGCTGCTTCTGCCGGCAGAATGCCAGGCCCTGCTCCAGGGTCTCCCTGCAACACAGGCAGTCACCACATGCCATAAAAGCCATAGTTCCTACCCAATTCTACCCTGCCATGGTCTCAGAGTGGGTATGGTCTCCCTTAGAAAACAGATCAAAATATTCAGATGAAGGAAAAAGGGAGCAGCTACAGAACATGGGAAAGGGAAGCAGACTGCTAAGAGCTCCAGAAAAAAATGCAAGAGAACAGATCTGAAGATGATGCCCATGTTGGAAGCATGATCGACAAGCTGAATATGGTGGCACAGCACTCAGGCACGTTGAGACAGGAAGATCACAAGCCAACTGTGGGCAACTTAGCAAGATCTCATCTCAAAATAAAAAACAAGTCAAAAAATAAAGGGGAGTAGAGATGTAGCTCACTGTGAAGGCCCTGGGTTTAATCTTCAGTCTCAGTCTCAGTCTCAGTCTCAGTCTCAGTCTCAGTCTCAGTCTCAGTCTCAGTCTCAGTCTCAGTCTCAGTGTCTCTCTCTCTCTCTCTCTCTCTCTCTCTCTCTCTCTCTCTCTCTCTCTCTCTCTCTCCCTCTCTCATACACGTACACACGTACACACACACACACACACAGACAAATGAGTAACATGACACCTACATTCAGTCAATGATCAAGAGCAGATGGTCACTGCTGCCACCAGTTTCAGCTAGTCACCTATAGGTTCTACTTACGCACAATCCAAACAAGCAAGGGTGGCCCATGACTGAGGGCAGGTGAGCAGCCCCTCCATCCAGGAGGGAAGGAGGGCAGGGGCAACCCTTCCCACAGCCGCCCCCCCCAAGCACTGTGGCAAGGCCTATTCACTTCTCTGAGTGGTTGCTGCCTCTGGGTATGAAAGACTGCTTGATGAATGAAGTGTGTATATGCTTCTCTTTAACATTAAAATGAGGAAAAGAATCCATTTTTGTATTATAACTGCTGTCTTCACCCCCCTCCACCCTCCTGCTCAAAGTTCAGGGACACCAGAAGCAGCATGGGGGGTGAGGAGTATCTTTTTTTCAGTACTGAGAATGGAACTTAGAGGTGCTCTACTACTGAGTTACTTCCCCAGCCCCCAGCCCTTTTTGGAGGGAGTTTCAGGTTTTTTAAAGAGGGTTTCATTATGTATGTCAGACCGGCCTCCTGCCCCAGTGCTGGGACTCTGACTTTATTTTATTTTTAATTTTGAGACAGGATCTTGCTAAGTCATCCATTCTGGTTTTTTGGGTGTTTTGTCTTTTTGAGACAGTGTTTTGCTATGTAGTTCAACCTGGCCTTGAACTCACTCTGTAGCCCAGGTTGGCCTCAAATTCATGGTGATCCTCCTGCCTCAGCCTCCCGAGTGCTGGAATTACAGGCATGTGCCACCATGCCCATTCTGGCCTTTAACTTGCAATTTGTATGCTTCAGCCTCCCAGAAAGCCCAGCTCACTCCCATGTTTAAATGAGCCATTCCCTTCAGTTCCCCTGCTGAGGCAGCCAGGGCCTTGCGTTTGTGACATGCCCAAAGTGTGGCCCTGGCATGGTGGCATGGCCACATGGCAGGTATCCCAGGCCTTGGTCCCCCTTACTTGATCTCTGCTGCCCTGTGGTCTGGGTAATTCTTGTGGAAATACTTCAGTGCCTGCATCACTGCTGAGGTGCACTCCACATACGTGTAGTCAATCATGATGTCCCCTGGGAGAGGGAAGCCTGTAAGATCCACTACCACCCAAGGCCTGTGACTCAGACCAGGTGATTCAGAGCCTATGCCCAGATGTAACCCCAATCTGTGCAAGCAATATGGCTACAAGGAGCAGAATGCTTGCATACTCATCCATGCAGGGAAAGGAGTGGGTTCTGTCAAGACAAGGAACTCAACAGATAGCTGCAGCCCACCTTGAATACCTACTTGACAGACTGGGAAGTAAGGTATCAGAGACCAGAAAAGGAAGGGTACAGTAGGTACCCAAAAGACCCTCAGGAGAAAAGAACCTCCCCTGCTAGACCAGAACCTTTGTGGTGACAAGCAGACATAGCCCAGCAGCCCACAGCACAGCCTTTGAGGGTATCCGCAACTCCCTGCAGGTGCTAGGGGCTGCATGAGGGTGCTCAGGATGCATGATGGTCTCCTGTGGACAAGCAAGACCTGGCCCAGGCTAGAACCAGAGAGTTGGGTGCGAATCCCACGCAAACTCCTGGGACAGATCACAGCCCTTCATCCCTGGCACAGGGACTCCCAGGGTAGCTCTGCCACAGCATCAGCCCTGATCTGTGCACTACCCTGCTGCCCAGGTCACTCACCGAAGACCTCTGAGGGGTTAAGCAATTCCAGCAAGCGGCCCCCCCGCATGGTCTCATAGGTGGCAAACCCTCCGTCAGGATTCCTCATGTTCAGCAACTAAAACCAGAGGGTTATTCTGAGAATGGAGCATGCCTGGAGCCCACAGATCCTAAGACAGCTTTCTAGAAGCACCCCAGGGTGGACAGCTAACAGGGCAGGAGTGGGAGACAGGGAGCCGATCCACATGCTGAGCAAGCCCTCAAGTGTCCAATGCAGCTGCTATAGTCACAGCCTTGTGCAGCCATCTAGCAACAGGCCCTGAGGCACCCATTCACTTGTGAGCACTGACACAGTAGGACAGGTGTAAGCTCCAGGGCCAGGTGTCCTGAAAGAAGTTTGTGCAAAAGTGGACATGCAGTGGAGACCACCAGCCCTCCCAAAGGACATCCAAGAGAGCCACAGTGTAGAAGTAGGCTCTACAGTCTCCAGAACCAGAGCACCCCCAGAGGTCTCACAGCCTGCCCTGGCTGCCAGGGGCAAGCCAGGCTTCAGCTCCATAGCACAAGGCAAAAAGTATATGGCCACCCCAGGGTTCCTAATGCCCAGACCTAATGATCTGGGCATGAGCTCTTGCAGCCTGGCCCCTCTGCCTAGTCAGAAGGTGAGCACTCATGTCTGCAGGACATGAGAGCAGGCGCAGGAGTGAGCTCACCACAGCCACAGCATCACAGAGCCGCTCTCGGGGGATGTGCTCAGTGATACAGGGACACTTTTCCTGCAGGAGCAAGACAGCCTTCAAAGCCTCCGCTGTGCAGTCAGCCACGATCCAGCCACAGTCCAGGGTACTGAAGCAGAAGCCACCCTGTGGAGTGGGACATGACCATCCATAGACACAGCACCCTTCCCCATCTACAGCCGTTGTCTGCACAGCACCCCAGGCATATCCAGGCAGACCTCCAACTCCAACACAGGGACTTCCCAGGGCTACAACCCCTCCCTGGATGCCTTTAGGCTGGGAAAGGCTGAGGGCAGGGAGACACACACATACCTTGTTCAGCTGTCGGTAGTATTTCTGATAGCTGGGAGGATTGTCTGGGACCTGGACAACACCGAGGGGCATAAAAGCAGACAGACATCTTGTCACCAGAGATCCCACACTGTGACCTGGGAGCCAGGTCTGCTGCCAGCCCCAACACCAGCAGTGCAACAAGGCACCTGTAGGACACCAGTCCCACAACCCTGTCACTCTGGACAGAGTTGCCAGAGCACTGAACAACCTTCTCTCTTGCCCCAGCTTCATGGTCCTTCTGCTCTCAAGAGAGAGCTGATGACCTGCCGTTATGATCAGGGTCCAGCCTCCCTTCCACGGCTCCCGTGCTCAGAGCCCATGCAGGCAGAGAACCCCTGCTTGCCCTCACCAGCCCCAGGGAGACAAGCAGCATCTTAGTGAGCTCTGAGGACAGGGAAATGGGGCATAAGGGACCCAAACTGAAGGTAGTCACTGTGGCAGAGGTGTGGGGTCAGCACAGGACAGCAGGACACGATAGAGGATGCAGGTAGGAGCATGACAATGAAAACAATCCACTCGCCTCCGGGAAGGACTGGCTGATCAGAGGCCACCCAAGGTCCTGGGACGTGACAGCCACAGGCTGGTGTCATCTCCACTGGCCTGAGGCACCTCAATTGTGCCAGAGTGAGAACAGCCTCAGGGCTCAGAAACATAGCTCCTGGCTGCACCACAGACTGTCCCAGACCCTGCATACCACTCCAGCATGAACAGTGAACATGTCCACTGGGCACATGTACTGCAGCCCATGCCAAGGGCTGCTCTGGGGTGACGAGGGTAGATGAAGGTGGCAGAGGGAATATGGAAGATGAGAACACCAGCCTGAGGAAGCTGGGCAAGGCAAAGCTATGGAGGGCACTGGCCTCACCTGCGAGAGCCGCATGAACGCATGTGCCTTTTGTAGGCAGGACAGGAATTCGGGCCTGTGGTGTGCACCCGCCTGGAAGACAGCAGCACAGCACAGCTGAGCCAAATCCACCAATGTCCTGGTGACTTTTGCCACAGCTGGGAACGAGAAGCAAACTAACACACACATCTCTGGAGAGTTACAGGGTGCTTTGCTACACTTACCTTTCAAGACAGAAAGTCAACGAGACGTGCCTGGAGAGTGGAGTGAGTAGGACACACTGTCCTGGACAGAAGCCAACCTGTCTCCCAGGAGACCCCAGAGGTCCCCCAGAGGACCTGCCCCCACCTGGCCAAAAACACCCCCAGGGTTCCCCCAACACAATACCATCATTCCTCTCCCGCACTGCTCCAAACACAGCCAGCCTCTAAGGTCCTAAGAGCCTCACATCCTGCCCCATGGGGCATCACCCTGCCCAGTTCCCTCTAGCTGGCTCCTCAGATCCCAGAACCAGCCCACTATCCAGGGTGGCCAGACAGGGCCAGTACTTCCTTGGTGTCACCTGCACAGGCTCTGGTGCCAGCCTTGTGAGAGCAAGGGCAGTGTGTGGTAACAGTGCTAGGTCCCTGAGGGGAGACATGCAGTCCACACACACAGGAAGGTGAGAGGGAGAGCCACATACCTCCAGCAGAGCCTGGATGGCAAAAGAGGTGTCCCATATCTGTGAGCCATTGGTGCCCTGCATGCAAAGGACAGATATTACAGCTGCTGCAGCCATAGCACCTACCTCACCCCCACCCACCAGCTGATGCCCCACTCAGGCTCTGAGCCCTGTGCATCCTCCTGGCTGGCAAGGGCCCAAGAAGAACCTGCCTTCATGGGCCACCAGCCAGCACAGTGACTCAAGGCATTTCTAGGATCAGACCTTCCCTCATAGGACCCCACATTTCCCCCACAGCAGCACACCCATCATAGGATGACCAGAAATGCCCACCTCCAATCAGTCTGGAGTCTGTGTTCTCCAGACAACACCAGATCTCAGGAGGGGCGGGGCGGGTCCCAGTAAGCTTTGTTCAGGGCCCTCTGAAATGTCTGACAGAGCCCTAGGCCCCAGCCCACAGGATGGTCACAGGATCAGTTCTCCCATAAACTTTCCCATGAATGCTTTTTTGGGGGCCAAAGATACCATCAGGCACCTCTGCCCAGAGAGGAATGCATCTGCTGTCCACCTTGCCCAGGGTCTGGAAAGATGCTGTCCACACACTTCTGCTGTATCCAGTAAACCTGCACTCTCCCTCGGAGTGGCCAGGTATCCATTTCCTTAACACTGAGTTCCACAGGAACCTCTGCTGCCTGTCTGCCTGCTGCTCCCAGACCTGGCCATACCCACTGACCTCTCCTCTCCACTCACAGCTGCAGGGATGACCAGGGTGAGCCCAGGGGCCAAGAACTGAGAACAAAACTCCAGTGATTTCCTAGGGGAACCCTCCAAATGACTGCAGGGAAGAAAAGCCCACATCAGCCTGTCACAGGTGCAAAATTAAGTGCTTCTGCAGGGACTGAGCCATACTTAGGCCTGTCACTGCAATAGTTTAGCCCAGCCTCACAAACAGGCAGAAAATAGACACTACAACTACAGGTGGACATGCAAGAATGGGTAGTGATCCCAGAGACTGAGGCACCCAAAGTGCCCACTGCCCCACACAGACTGGAAGACTGGAGGGTGACTCAGCCTCTCCTTTGTGTACTGATCTATTCTGTGAGGAGTCACCTTTGAACTCAGCAACAGTGGCCAAGGCCACACAGCCCTTACCTGCATTTTCATACCATCAAGGCCCAACCTGTGAGGAGGAGAAAAGCACATGTCAGGGATGACCCATAGCCACAAGCAGACACCACACAGGCCTCCCCCAGGAGGCCAGCATCAGCCTCATCACTGCTGAAATGGCTCACAGGCGTAAGGGTCACACTTGGCAAGAAATGAGACAGCAGCTCACCACACGGGGCAGTGGAAGCCTTGAGCCTAATTACCCTGCTGGCCTCATTCAACACCACACTGCCAGAAGACAGCCTCCACAAGTGCACGGCTTCCTGCCATGGTCCTCAGGGCTCCAACTTGTGGCCAGACAGTACTGACGACCTCCCTACCATAAGCCTTCTTACTAATTTAGACCTACCCTACCCATCCACAGGGCAGTTCTCCCTGCCCTCCAGAACCATCTCAAGTTTCTGAACGTGATAAATCCTCCCATCCAGACGACTCCCACACTCCTCCTGGTTACAGGGGTTATTCCCAGGGGCTGCACCTGATGCCCCTCATTGGACGCTGAGGGGTGGGAGGCCAGTATCACACAAGCCTACGTGTCTGTAATCAGCACTCAGCACCATCACCCAGCTACTTCCTGACCACACTCACCAGAGGTAATCAGGGATCCTGGAGATGTGCTCCTGGAATGCAAAGGAGGCTGGCCCATCCACAGCCCAGCGCACAAGCATGTTGATGGTTTTCGAGATCTGTGGCAGACATTGCTGTCAAGACCTGTATACCTCACCTCCAAGCCAGGACACCTCTGCTCCAACAGGAGCTTCCTGAGTGCACCAGATGCACAGCTGTGTCCCTACGGAACAACTCAGACCCAGGCCAGTATCAGGCAAGGTCAAGCAAAAGCCAACTTAGGATGTGGTGGGGTTAAGAGGGTCTGGGTGCCCACAGGTGGGGTGCTTTGGTGCCTGGTGGTTTGCCCAGAGAACCCATGCGTACTAAAGCCCACCTGCCCGACCCAGCTTCACCCCAGCCATGTGCCAGCTTCCTTCCAGGTCCTTGCTAGCCTGTTCACAACTGTATCCCCTGACCACTGGGAATATGACCCCAGGCATGGTGTGTGTCTATCTGGCTTCCACCAGACACGACAGACCCAGGAGGCAAAGCAAGATTAGGAACCAATGAAACACAAAAGCCCTGCCACCCCCACCCTGGGTACCTCTAAATTCTTTAAGACGGCAGAGGATCAACTGTCTGTGATAGGGACTAGGAGGAAGTCAGGGGAGGAATCCATCCCTCCCAGTTGGCCAGAAAGCTCCAGGTGGCCTCAAGGAGCAGGTATCCAGACATAACCAGGTAAGAGCCAGGTGTGGGGATGGGAGGGTGAGCTGACGGGGCCAGGTAGCTTCACAGAGCCCAGGACAAAGAGGATGAGGACAGAAGTCCCCTAAATAGGCCTCCTCCCAAAAGCACTTATGTGCACTCATCGCCACAGAGAAAGGTCTCAGAGGGCTCAATGGCTTCTTAGCACCAACTAGGTCCTCTCTGCCCCCAGGGGCTACATGGAGACAGGGGCCACAGAGGGCAGGGCACTGACCGGGCCAATGCTGATGCTCTTGGTGAACTGGTCATCAGCAGCGATGTGCTCATACAGCATCCGGATGGCCCGGCGCCGTAGGTAGGTGCTATGGAAGCGCTCATACAGGTTCAGGAGTGCTGTAGGGCAGCAGTGTCAGTGGGCACCAGACAGGGGGGATGTCCTGGCCCCAACCTGCCCTTCCCATACAGGGTACACCCATAGCCCTCTAACAGGGAGCAGCATCTGGGCCTCTGCCTCTCTGGCTCCCGCTGCTACTCACTCCACCCTTGCCTGTGCCTCCTCCTCTGCTCTGCCAAAGTAGTGCCTAGGGGGCCTCCTCTTGAAAAAAATCCCACCCAGGTGGTCCTCAGTGCTGCTCAGGACAGGACCCAGCAAAGGTTATTCATTGCCATAAACAGCACAAATGAGCTAATGAGGCCATAAATGAGTGACTCCCTGTCCCTGGGTGCCCAGGTCCACTGCCTTACAGTGTACCTACCATACACCGTGCGCAGCAGCCAGCTGTGTGGTGTGTACAGCTCATCAGGAGAGACGTTGTTTCTCTGTGCTGGCCAGTTGATGCTGGCATAGTCCTCCACATAGAGCTCCTAGAGGGTAGGTGGCACTTTAACCACTGGCGAGTCACCAGACACACCTCCCAGACACAAAGCCAACTGGACTTCAGCCAGGAGTGGCCTCCAATTGCCAGCCCTAGCCACTGGGTCATGCCCTTCCCATACATTGTGAAACACTTACCAAATAGCCACTGTGGAGTGAGGCCCGGATGGCTCAGCTATGTCAGGGCCACTCTGAGGAGTAGTCTGACACCCACCCTCTCTTCCTTCCTAAAGACACAGCCCAACCCCCATCCTGTACTCCACCCCATCACAGGGCCATTTCCAAGGACACAATTATACACATGGGTTAGGACTGCTCAGTGGGTTGCACATCCACACCCTGAAGCTCACAAATTCTCCATGGCCCCAGGACATTGGACACCAGTAACTGCCTGGCCCACAGCACAGGTTCCTCTGGCCAGAGCTTGTTTATTTCTGTTTACAGGAGAGGAAGTGGAAGCTCCACAGGGCCCCCAGGGTGGGGACCCCAACCCCAAGAATGTGTGCCATCTGTCTTCCTGAGTCTTATGGGTCTTTTGTGACAAGGATCCTCAGGGTCAGAGGGCTCACCTGGCGGAGGCTCTGGACCAGTGGGTCCTCCGAGGCACTAAGGCGGGTGGCATAGCAGTAGCTCATGGGCAAGTAGACCTGCCGGCAGTGACACCAGAGAGTGGAGGGGTGTGCAGGCATCCAGGAAGGAAACAGCCTGGGGGACAACACACGTCAGTGAGGGTGCCCAGGACACTGCCCCACTGTCAGCCTTGCAGCCATGGGTCTTAAGGGTGAACACACTCCTGTGGGTGCAGTGAAACCTGTGTGTTCACCTCCCAAAGAGCTGACATCCCCTCCTACCCAGCATTTTGTGTTCTAGGAGGTGAACAAAGGTGGTGACCATCTGGGGTTTAAAGTACTCTTCAAAAACTTTTAAGCCTGCTTGCAGCAGTGTTGCACGCCCATAATTCCAGCTGCTCAGGAGGCTGAGGAAAAAGGATTCCAAGTTTCAAGCCAGACTGGGCAATTTAGCAAGACCCTGCTCGAAAAATAAATAAATAAAAAAGAGCTACGGATGTAGTCCAGTCATAGAGTACTACAGATTATGACCACACAAAACGAATGATAAAACAGTTAACCCTGTCAACCTCCTCAGTGCCTCAGTACTCAGTATCTACTCACACAGGAAAAGCCGCACCAGCTTCCCAGGGCAGTGTGCCCCTGACCTCCCATTCTCTCCTCTCACGCCTCCATTCTTGTGCACGAGTGAGGGTCATGACAAGCCACGCTGACTGACCACACTCCCTGTTCTCTAAATGTGAGCAATAGGCCTCAGCCTCTTCTGCTCTCTTGAGGGCTTATGCACTCACTACAAAGAGCGGTTTTTACACCCCGAGTACAGTTTCCAGCTTTTTCAAAGCCCGACTGACTCACAGTCTCTGGTCTTCCATTTCACCCCTTGTCATTCAACCTCCGATCTATCCCCTACCCAACTTCAGCAAGGAACAGCAGCCCACTAGTGACAGTGCCGCCCACCACGGACCACGAGAGTCCGGCCACATAGGGACACAGACCAGACGCATCCCCAACCCCAGCCTCCAGAACTCATCCCTCCCACCATGGTGGCCACAATGACCACCATTCTCAGGGCCTTCCTCAGCCTGTTCTCACACAGCAGGTCCTGCCCTGCCACCTGTCAGCAGCAGACAACTGAAGGCCAACATGGCTCAGGGCATCTCTCCAAAAGGCAAAAGCATTCCACCTGCACCATACACAGGCAGCACTGTCTACAACCCCCATCCCTCACCCAACACCTGCCAGCCCTCCCACCTGTTACTACATAACCTGGCTGTGGAGCTAAGCCCTTGGTCCTTGTTTCAGGACTCTGCTGTCCTTAGTGGCTCCTTCACGTCCTGACTTCCTCCATCAAGTCACCTACCACAGGGCCTTAACACCTATTTCTACAGTACTCAAGGGACATGGCAGGGGCTTTGCCTAGGCTCTGAAGTTCTGGGGTCCTAATTCCCAATATGTATATGGGGTAGGATCATAACGTATGTCGAACATTTAAATTTTTTTAAAAACTAGGAGAGTAAAAGACACATTGTTATTAACCTCCCTCAAAATACTTACCCACTTGCTTTGAAAACACTTACCCCATTGTTCTTGCTATTTCTTAAAGCAGTTCTAAAGTTTTGGTTTTATCTTTTTGAGACAGGGTCATTACGCAGCTCAGGCTGGTCTTGAACTCACTTTGTAGCCCAGGCTGGCCTCAAACTTGAAACAATCCTCCTGCCTCAACCTCCCGAGTGCTGGGATTACAGGCGTGTGCCACCATGCCCAGCTCAGCAGTTCTAAAGTGCTCTTTCACCAGATCTTTAATTGTGCTGTTGTAGCTGCCTCAGTGTTCTGAACTGATTCAAAACTGTTACATTTCATGGTCATTTTGACTTTGGGCAAGAGCTACAAGTTGTACTATAGCAAATTTGTAAGTAAAGTGGACAACAATGTATCACGAAGTTTTTATGAGCCTGTTTTTCTGCTGGATTGTACTAGGCAATGGCATTCACCATATTGCTGGTAACACATAAAAAAAAAAAATCAAGAAAAAGGACATCCAGAACTGCTCACAAAGTGGCAAAAACAATTAGAAAAGCGTTGGAAGTCAGGCAGAGTACTCTACAGGGGATTAATGATAATGTAGCTTTTACTGTAATAAAGTTTTGAAATTTAAACATTCACTGCATATTTTTGTATATGCTGGTAGCACTTTATAACACTGGGGTAAATGTTACCATAGAAGTGTTTTCTAAGGAGTGGTCCATAGCTTTTATCTATTGTCTATGAAACAGCAACAGATGCTGGCAGTAGATATGAAATTCAAAGGAATGAGCAGGTGTGGTGGGCACAGCTGTAATTCAAACACTTGAGAAGCTGAGGCAGGAGGATCACCATGAGTTCAAGGCCCCCTTGGGATACATAGTGAGTTCAAGACCAGCCTGAACTGCACAGCAAAAAAAAAAAAAAAAAAGAGATCTTTTTGAGATCTCCTCTCAAAAAGCCAGAAGAAAGAAAATCTAAGGAATGAGCACGGTTCCATTAAACCAAACCTAAAGATGCACACAGAAACATGCATGGATGAAATGATATCCAGGACTTGACAAACATTCACCCCAAAGTAGGCAACGGGAAAGACAGATGCAATTCTCACATCGCATCCAAGGGTAGGTAGAAGTGTGCCTTTTTATTCTACTTATACACACTCAGGATTTTCTATAATTACCAGGTACAAACTACTGTCTACCCCACAAAGCCTGAGCTTCCTTCTATGCCACTCTATGGGTTCTAGTATTGCACCACATCACCCCACACACAACATACAACTGGTACTAGGGTCAGACTCCTAGCACCTTTCTTTCCCCTCCCTCCTGCCCAGAAGGGAATCCTGATTTCATACATCCGTGTATTTTAGTGGGGTAAGAGCCTCTGCTGGGGGCCTGACCCACCCGACCAGGCCCACCAATCTACAAGGGCAGGCATACCACATCTCAGGAAACAGGGTGTTGAGGCCTTCCCAGCTGTAAACGTTCATGATAGCCAGCCAAAACTTCCCCCAGGAGGGGATGGCTACAGCACCACCTAGGAAGAAAACAGGATGTCATCTGCCTCCTGTCAGCACAGCCAGCCCTACTCTACCCATGAAGACTGGCCTACAGGGTCAGGTGAGCCACTTCTCACATCAGCTTAGAACAGTCTGCTGCAGGTCCTAAACACCAGGTGACAAGTGGGTTCGAGAGTGACCCAAGACACCAAAACAGCTGGGTGGAACCAGCAGCATTCCCAAGAGTATATTCAATCCCAGGAGAGCTGTTTGCAGCTCTTGCTTCCAGGAAAGAGCACAAGGAAGCTACCTGTAAGGACACCTCATGCTCAGGAGATGGAGGGGCCCAGATGCATGCAGTGGGCCATGGCCACACACCCTGGAGATGGTCAGGAGGGAGTGAAAACGCATGCTTGGGTCTCCCTCTCAGACCAAGCCTAAGCTGTCTGTGCTTTCCCACCTGAGAGACAGTCCAGCACAGGTGAATAACAGGCCAGATGCCAGAGCAGATCTGACACTCTTGGGCCATGTCCAGGGCCTCCCCCAGCAGCAGCTGGTGTCAGGTGCAGTGCACAGCAACACTGAGTTGGACACATTTTATGAGAAAGTTCTGGCTTGACCCAGGTGTGTGGAAGTCAAAAAATACCCAGGTAACTACTAGGCAAAATGTGGCTCAAACATGTTCCCCTACCAGGCAGGTGCCAGGAGTGCTGGAGAGAACTACACCCTAGGAACTCAATGTGCTCACAATGAATTAAATACAACAGTGACACACAAAGAGTGCTGGACTTCATGTAAATGTGTTCAGAATACATTTCACAAAGAAATCCCGAAGAAGTGACATTTGAGATACAAGCTAAAGAAAAAGTTGGATTTTGCAAAACTGCAGGGTGGGGGGTGGAAAGTGGGATAAAAGGGTGCAGGACATGGCAGCCCTGAGGTGAGATAGGGGTCTTTTTTTTTTTTTTTTTTTTTTTGGTCTTTTTGAGACAGGGTCTCGCTGTGCAGTTCAGGCTGGCCTTGAGTTCACTTTGTAGCCCAGGCTGGTCTCAAACTTGCAAAGATTCTCCTGCCTCAGCCTCCCCAGTGCTGGGATTACAGGCATGAGCCACCACGCCCGGCAGGGCTTTTAAATTTTGCCAATTCATGAGACAAGGAATTACCAGGTTATTAATTTGCTATTTAAAAAATTAAGCAATTAAAATTTCTGCATGTATTTACTTCGACAAATTCTTTGTTCATGTATTTTGCCCAGTGTCTCCACTGAAGGTGCATCTTTCTGACTCTCATCTGTAAAACCTTGTAACAATGGTATAACATAAATTCGTTTTCTACCTTTTTTGTGAAGGATGTTCCGGGCGCGTACCAAGTTGGGATCATCAGGCCCAATACCCAGGATTCTGAGAGCCACGTAGTTGAGTGCAGTCCCAAACACTGTGGATTTGTCCTCAATGTGCCTATGGAAGCATCAAACTGGTGGGAAAATGATCTCTGTCTTCTAAGAAATAAAAGCCAGGCATGATACATAGGCCTGTTATCCCAGCATTCTTACAAGATGAAGCAGGAGGACTGCAAGTTTGAGCCTAGCCTGAGCAATTTCAACAGGACTCCATCTCAAAATAAAAATGGCTTTGCAGCTCAGTGCAAAGGCCCTGGATTCAATCCCCAGTACCAAAAAAAAAAAAAAAAAGGTGCTAACATTTTAAACAATAAAAATAATGTACTGCTGGCAGTGAAATTTGCCTAAGAAAGAAAGAAACCTAGAAGACCTCTAACATGGCGTGACAGCACAGGAATCACTACAAAAAGTTCACTCACCTCTCATGACTTGAGTTGCTCCAAAATCCCCTAGGCTACTTGTCCCACCCTTCTGCTCACTTCCCACACGTGAGTCAACACATCTGTCCCAGTGCAGTCTGTGTGGGCAGGGTTCCTGCTCCCAGAGTATGCCCCACACCAGGAATGGACACTGAGACAGAAGCTGCTGGGCACCCTGCCACCAGAGTTGAAGGCAGTTTTTTCTGCCGCCATGATGAAACACTGATGGCTTTCACATGGCATGTGGGTCTCAAAGAGGCCCTTAACTGACCGTGAAACCCATTTACAATACCAGCTATGAAGGGCAGTCCAGCCTGCATGTAACTATCAGCCCATTCCCTTCTTTCCAGGTTCTCCCCCACCTCACCCCAAGCCTACAGCTTCAGTCACCCCACTTCTCAACAGCTGCCTAGAAACCTGAGGACTGCCTACACAAAACCACATGCATGCACAGGTGTATATGCATGCAGTTGGGCATACTCACAGGCCCCAGCCACCATCAGGGAGCTGCACTGACAACAGGTACCGCACCATCTCCTCCCTGTATCCAGCCGGCAGAGGGATGCGTGCTACATGGCATGTGATCAGGAGGCCTGTGTGGCAGGAAAGATGACTCAGCATTGCTAAACCCAGGTTCCTTTCTTCTTGAGGACCCCCACCCACACAGGGAGCTGTCCCCATGGGTTTCCTTCTCATAGAACTGAGCCCAGGAAGGCCATTTCTCCTGGGCTGGATCAGGGATTTTGGAACACACTTCAAGAGACTGCAACACAGATGACACTCCCAGCACTGGACCCACAGAGCCCACTGAGCTATGCCTGACTTCCACAGCAAGGTCTGGGACACAGAAACACCAAACAGTACACAGGACCCTAAGGATGCTTCCCATGAGTGTCCTAACGGCCCAAGAAGTGTTAGCATTCAAGATCAGTGGTCCACAAGGGGAGACTAGGTCTTGTTCTAACAAATGCTGAGAAAACAAACACTAAAGGTCAAGCCCAATGGAAAAACATTTAGTGCTTATTTGTATTTTGTTTTGTAAACTTTCTAGAAACTCCTATCCTTTGCAAACAAGGGGAGCGAATACCGTTCACAAAGAAGCTTCCTTCCTAGCCGGATCTTCTCGAACGTGCTATGGTGCTCTACGCCTCCCTTTATCCCCAGCCCTCATGTAGAGATGCCATCATCACAGGGTTTGTTTTTATTCGCACGTGCCATTGGTTCACCACCGCAGGCCAGGGCCTTAAGGATGAGCCAAGGTAACCTTGCCCTCAGGCTGGGGCAGCATGCTCCTACCTGGCAGGAGGAAGAGTGGGCCACCATAATCACCCGTCCAGTGCCCGTCCTCAGCCTGCAGCCCCACGTAAAATGTTACACCGTTCAGAGCCCCTTCGTGGGCTGTGTGAGCTTTGGGCAAGTCTTTAAAGTAACTGTTCTACAAAGGGAGAAAAAAAGATGAGATCGGACGGATCGGTGGTGGGGCCATCAGAACTCTCCCCCCACAGCCCAAGTCAAACTAGTGAATCGAAGCTACTTTAAGGGCCCCAGCGGCCAGTGTTTGATGACAGCATTACACCTCAGCAAAGAAAAAGGGCAGTTACATGGTTTTACCGTACAGTTACGGATCTGCACCTTTCTTCACGACTTCCCCACTGCGTCTTGAGCACGCCCAGCACCCACAGGCTGGGGTGGGGCCGCGACGGCCACGCAGCTTGGCGAAGCGCTCGGTTCGCTCCCGGCCCGTGCCTGACCTTCACTTTCGGGCACACACCAGAACACAGTAGCGAACAAGTTGTTTTTGCGAATAAAAACAAAGTCACAACTACCCCTCCAACTCCTCTGGCGATCTAAAGTGATGTCAAAATGAAGTGCCTAAAACAAAACGTGGGCCGTTCCCGACGCGACGCGGCCGGACCCTCCGTCGCCTCCCCGACCGAGACTCCGCGCGCCGCCGCCACTCACCGTGTCGAGCCCCAGCGCGTGCGCCTCCAGGCCGCTCTGCGCGCGCTCC